GATAAAGCTCCGCCATCAAGATGATGAACAATTTGGATGAAGAGGCTTCGAGATGAACACAAAAGCTGAAGAAGTGCGGCTGATGCAGCCCCGGACAGCTGAAGAATGCTGCAGTCTGCAGATGAATAGCCCTCATTTGTGAATATACAGATTTTCCATGATGAATAAAAACTGAGTGTAGGTCACAATAAATAAACTTTTTTTTCCCCCCCTTCTTCTCAAATAATAATTCAGGTTCCCGGCACCAAACAGCTGTAAATTGAAGGTTGTGCTTAGTTTTCTCAACTCTCAAAGGGGATAATTAAGCTAAGCTCATATTGTTTGATATATTAGCGTAATGATGAGCTACTATATTCTGGCTTGTTTCGAGTTATTTTAGGTTGGTTTTTTTTCCATTATCTTTTTTCTTAAATTACATTTCAAATACATTTTAAATGTAGAAACGGCATTTCCGAAACACAGTTGCCCTGTGTTTGGGTCTATCTGAAATGTATTCATATAACATTTAATTAAAGATGCTACATCCCCTTTTTTTTGGTAAAAAAGCGTGGAGGTAAAAAAATATCGACATTATTTGACTAGCCCTGACATAATCTCACTCAACTGCCAAACCTTATCCTTATTGGCACAAGACAGTTAGATGGGGTTGTATTCTTTATCAATATAGACAGTCATTAACCTTCTGGAACTTCAGGACTGGCATTTCTTGACAACCATAAAACCACCTCAGTCCCCCACAATTTTTTCATAATTTCATTTGAAGATCAACAGAGGGCAAATATAAATTCTGATTTTACCTGGAAACCAGGATTTACACTCACAGACTGGCAGATGTCATATTTTTAGGACAGCTGACCAGATCCTGGGGCTCCAAGAACTTTAAAATACCCGTAAGTTGAAGAGCTGCCTTGGGAATGAGTGTGAAGGCAAAGGAAGCCCATGAAGCTGAGTGCAGGTAGAGAGCAGTAGTCCAAAACATGCTCATAAAAGTAGGATACACACTAGTAGTAGTCAGTAGGACTACTCATTAAAAGCATTGCTTATCTCGTTTTCCAAGCTAGAACCACACATGAAGCCTTTTCCCCATACTCACAACCCACAAGAATTGAATAACCTCCCCTCTAAAGATCCTAAATTTCAGTTCTGTGCAACAGATTATACTAGAGAAGGAAATCAGGGAGCAGCACATTGATTTGACTTTGAGCTTCAGTACTGAGCAGAAAGTCCTGCTAACCTAAGTCAAACAGACTCTTCCTTTTACCCATATTTTAAGAACGAAATCCCACAGCACACTCTGCTTATATTCTAAGGCTATGGCAAAGCTTCATAACATGGTGAGAAGAGACAGTTCAAATATCTTGGAAAAAAATAAGATTGTCCTACATCTTGGCCTGTTTCTGGAACCAGTGTCAAGCCACGTGTTTTATCGTTCAACAACGCGTATGAATTGTCCCTTTGGTCTGTGGTTTGGGATCAAAGGGAGAACAGCCCCTGTGATTTTTACAGCATGCCTAGAAAGAAACTCCAGAAATCTTCCACCAAAGCCTGTTCCCGTGAGGTTTCTGAGTTGCTCAGCACAGCCAAGACCCTGTGGGGTGGGTAAGCACTGGGATGCTGCGTGGCTGGGTGCCACTGCCAAATTTTTGCAGCTTTCCCAGCTCAGTGATGATGCATCATCCTGATTTCCCAATGAGGATTGTAAGTCCCACTGTCACTTGCTTGACCTGTTGTCACACTGCAAGGAGGCAGCCCAAACTCTGAGGATTTCAGTGGGTTCAGCATCACATTCCCCATCCTCATGACAAGCCTGGCCCATTCTGCTCTAAAGCTTTGCCCATAATCCACTGCCCTTTTGCTCATCCCATCAAACGGCAGTGAGGTGTCACCATGGATGAGGTGGGACCCAACTGGGCACATCCACCTCCACAACACACTATTCACAGGTGTGTTAGGAAGACCAATTAATCAGACATTCCAAGAGGGGGAGAAAACAAAAAGAAAAAAAGAAAAAGAAAACTGTTTTTCCCCCCCCCCCCCATCTGGGAGAAAATTCTCACTGGCCGTTCACTCCAAGAAAACGCTGCAACAATCCTGATCCAAAGGCCATTAGAGACTGTGAGTCTTTCCAGTGGCTTCCAGGGAGTTTCAACCAGGTCATCGCTAAACCCAGTGACAAATAAAACTGAGGGCTTTGCAGTGCTGTATATCAGAGGAAAGCAGGGAACCACACACCATCCCCAAGGATCCCAGCTCCCAGGGCCCTGCGGGTTTCCTCACAGTGGCACTCGTGGTGGTCAAACAGCCTTGGATTATCATCTAGAGCCCATCCAGTACTTAAACCGATGATGGATTTCCACTCATGCTTGCAGTAATGGCTGAACATTTATTAACTCTTTTCTCACTCATTATCTCCCTCCTTAAAAGGGTGCTCACAGCAAAACCGGGATCAATAGTTAGGAAAACAGATTTTTCATTTGACAGCTGTGTAAAAAACACACCTTTCATTTGTATATAGCCCTGTATAGACCCTGCTTAGCAATTAAAGATTTTATTTATTTTTTAACAACGATGAAGTTATTATTCATATTGTTGTTAGGACCCCAAAATCCTCATCAGAGGATTATTATTGAGGGAGAAGGCAGCTCCTGCTCTAAAGAGCTTGCAATTTTAACATGTAAGAGACAAAGAAGTGCAGATAAACCATCCAGGAGGCAGGAGGGGTTGAGGACAATGTAAAGGTGAAAAAAAAAAACCAAACCACTCTGTTCTGCTGTAATAAGTTCAGCCTCAGTTTATGCTACTATAGGATTTCAATATTTTTCAGATTATGCAATCTGATTTAATAATCAGTCGTTCAATACAACTCTTGTTCTTCCTTGTCTCTGCCCGAAGAGCTGATGAAGGCAAAAGGCACTTGTGCTCTCACATTCAAAAGTTAAGACTGACCCAAGGGATCATCAATCAGTAACTCACTTTAAAATTCTCTTTAAAATGTTTTACTAGCTCACTTTACTTGGCGTTTTTATCACTATTTATATCTCTAAAGCAGTGATATAATTAGTAAAGCCATTAATGTTTCTTATGTTTAGTCTTACAAAAGCTACAAATATCTATAAATCTGGCTTACAGCAAAATAAATAATGACAATAATTCTGTCAAGCATCAATATAATTTGCTGGACAGCATTGTGTAAACCAAGCAAATATCTGAACCATTAATGAGCTTAATCTGTGCCATTTAAACAACCCTTCAGTAAATTGTTCTGCAGGCCAGAGTGTCCAGGTTAGTTACTTTGCAGAATTCCCCCCTTTCCCAGTATTGGCTTCCCCACAAAAGTGACTGGCCTGCCTTTACCCAGTTCTGTCTTACACTCTCCTACAACCTGACTCAAATCTCTTATCAAATGTGTGGGAAAGAAGGGTTTTTCCCCCATTCTTGTAGAACTTTGAGTTTTCAGAGATGCTGATGTTCTGCGTGGATCCCCGTTCCTTAGGAGAAAAACCAAAATGAAACAAAACAAAAAACCCACCACCAGAAAAAACTCCCCTTTCCTTTTTTTCCCTGACAATCGTCACTTTTTAGTGGTGAGGACGTTCACTCAGGACAAGATAAAGTCAGTTTTAAGTCTCTGCTCTGCGTGGTTCAAACCAGGGACAGGAATCTGGGTCCCAGCATCTTCGCCTTAGGGTTAGGCTCTCTCATTCAAGCCAAAATTTATGCCTCAGGCAGGAGAAACTTTTCATCTCTAAAACATCAAACCAGGATGTTGCAGAGTCCTGCTTTTTGTCATATTTCCTGTTCCTGACACAGGGATTTTTGTGGAAACTCCTGGACAGCTCAAGCCCTCAAGTCTTTGAACCATGGCATGGGCCACCCTTTATTCTGCTAACACTTGATTTTCTTTAAAATTTAGTCGTTTTCACATATGCACAAAAAAGAAAATCCAACAGAAAGCACAGACCAAGCCTCGGCAAAACACTACAAGCTCCTGCTTTCCGCTTCTTCTCATCCAATGGAAATATTTTCCCCTTTTCCACGAGGTACAGACACGACCCAAACTTTCAGAACCCAAGCTGGGCTGATTCAGCAGCCCGGGGAAAACCATAAACATTGATTCTAAACACAAAACCAGCACCCATGGCGTTACCATTATCAATAAGAAAATAAATATCTGCTCTCATGAGCCCCAAGTAAAAGCTCTTTTAAGTAAAAGTATTAGAAGAATATATCAGCTATAAGATATAACACAGGCGACTACTACCACAGGATGGGCATTTTTAACTTTCACTCTGAAATGACTGGATGATAAGAGAGTACAATATATATTTTGAATTCAGGGTGAGAAGATCTTTTTAATATAAGTGTTTTATGATGTAGTCATACATCATTTCTAACTAAAATGCTAAACAAAACACAATCCCTTTCTGAAACACAGATAATGATGGATTTTTGTTATTCTGTTTTATTCCATAAGATAATTTTTCAACCCAAACTTTTATTTTATTGATGGTATAAGAAAGTCCCAGTACATCTTCTTTCATATCTGAGACACTTTCATGAAAACTGTGAGCTAAAACTCAAATGTCATTACACAGAAAGAATTCTTGGATACGTGATCATTTATTGGGATAGTCCCACGTGATGGGATTAAAGGAGATTAAAAGGACCAGGTATGTTTTGTTGATTGCTCTGGCACTTGAAAACCCCTCTGATCTCAGAACAGGAGTTTTGTGGGTATTATTATAATAATAACGGGGATCTTGGAAGACAGGAGGTGGATAAGCAGAAGGAAACTAAATCCAATAATGTTTGTACTGTCACAAAGCCAGGATGGTTTGGGATATGATTTAATCCTATGGAGCAGACCTACCTAACACTCCTAAGCAAGAGACAGACAAATAAACACACACAGTAAAATAGAAGCATATCTGCAAAGTGAAATCCCTCACCCTTCCCCAGGCAAAATATTGTTTTCCCTCAACTCCAAAACTCACCAATAATTTGGCTGTGTGTGCCGAGCAAGAATCCCAACAAATCTCTGCCTCCTCCACTTTATAGCCTCAGCAAAACACGACATCCAAGGAATTGCCTGTGCTTTCTGTCTCTTTCCTTGTTTGTTTTCATGTGTACTACCAAAACAGACTGTGCCAGTACCTACAAGGAACCAAAATATTTTAAGCACTGACTACTGCAAAAATATGAAACACCTTTTTTAGTGCTTGGTTCAAACAGAGGGATAAAGGGGGAAGGAAAGTGGCATTCCTACCACTCCAGTGTGGAGGATGGATGCCTGCTCACTGCCTCGCTGCCTTTGCAAATACCTTACAGTATCTACCACAAGATAATTTCTCCCATAGTCTCTTGTCCCAGAGACTCCAAAGGTTGGCTTCATGTGCTATCATGACAACCACATCCATTTTCTTGGATCAGTTAAACAGTTTAAAGCCTCCACTCCTTGTTGTCACCAGCAAATTCTGTCCTCGTGTGGGCTAAGCCAACCTCAGAGGCTACAGACCATCATATCATCTGTGTGCTCTGCTCTGCACCCCTCTGACCTCACACTTCCATCTGCTCTACCACTTGTTTGTTGAAGAAGAGAGGTTTTCTTACAAGCACAAGTTCTTCCTAGCATTTGGCATATAATTAAAAAAAATAGAAGTTGAAACATTTTTTAAAGACTGCGTTTTTTTTAAAAAAAGACCTTTCCTAGAACAGTTGATGTTAGAATAGTGGTGTGAAGTTGTACAGATTTTATCACTTCTATGTGTTTCAAGAAAATGTGAATTAAAACCTCAATTTGTAACACGTGCTGTAATCCATTCTTCTCATGAAGTCAACAGAGCAACACCGAGTTAGATGAGCTGGCCCATGGCAGACACATCTGCAGCAGAGACCCAGGGCCTGCTTTTACAGCAGTTTAATAATAAATTAAAAAACCCCAGGCCTATAGTTGTTCTTGTTTTGAGTTCTTACACTAACTACTTTGCCTATATACCTCCTGATGATTTTGGCTGTGGTGCCTAATCAGAACAATAGCTCAGAAGAAGCCAGCAGTCCTGGTTACAATTAGTTGGGACTATTTTAACTACCTGTTGGGTTGTTACAGATTTAAGAAGGACTGGCTGGTGAGAAGAGGGTTCTGGCAAAAAACATGTCTGCTGAGTTAGGGAGGCTTTGGAATTATTTTTTTTTAGATTTCCCTTTTAAGTTCAGCATCATGGTTTGTAAAGGCTGTTTTAAAAACCTAAGATACACTCCTTCCCTATTTTTCATGCCCTTTTCTGACTCTCAGCTCTCCAAGGCAGTCCATATTCCTTACTTACACACAGTGGCCAAGACAACAACATCCCATCCCTGGCTGGCCTCAGAGCTCAGTCAGAACAGAAATAAAAACAATCTGAAGAACAAGTGCATCGCAGAATCAGTGTGATCTTCCCCTAAATCCTGCAGGAAAAACCTCACAAAATCCACAAGGGAAAGTTTGACTGCATTAACAAGAAAAAAAATTAAAAAGATCTGTGAAAGAAGTTCCACTTAAAATAAAAAGCAGCAGAGACCAAACTCTGAGAATCCAGGTTTTGAATGAGCTTTCATTATTCATTGACCCAGGTTTCTTCTTTATGTTATGCAGAAAGCAAAAGATTAAACTGATGCCAAAGGGAGTGGGGACGGGAGGGTGGGTGCAGTGGACAGACTGGCCCCACAGAGCTGGGGAGGGGGTGCTTTGACTGTGCTCAGGAAGAGGCTGCAGCACACTCAGAACTTCGCAGCACAAGGGTGCAGCAACTCAGCTAATTGGGGAAGATAAAAGGCAGGTTTTTATGAGACAGACACCATCATTATCGGAAATGAAGGATAAAAACTTGAGCAGCTACATCTTATTTTATCGCTGGGAAGTCTCAGAAGGAAAAAAGAATTATCAAAGTTTTTGATAGTTCCATTTAACCACAAGAAAACTATGTTAATGTAACCTTAAAGGTTTGACTAAAACCTATGAAATCAAGGCAACTCACAGTTCAGGCCTCAGCTTCTTCCCTAACCCACCTGTAGTGCCCGGACCGTGTGAGGCACAAGCACTGCCTGCTTGGGGACAGTGTCACCCATATGGGCAGATCATACTGCTGACTCTTGTAACCCCAAAACCAACACCCAGCACAGCAAACATAGCCTTTAGATCTGCCCATAAAGTGGTCTTATGTTGTCTGTGCTTTTCCTTTGTTTCATGTAATGAAAATATAAAGGCAATAAGCAGTTTCATCATAAGCCAATCCAACACAAAAATTCCTTCTCCAAAGCATGGCCAGGCAGCAAGAGGCAGGCACTTTAATGGTCTGAAAGTCTGGGTTCCTAATGAAAATACTGACAGACCCTTAACCACACAGCAGCGTGAGCAAGCGCCACCATAATAATCATTTAAGCCCTCTTTTCTGAGAAAGGCTTGGCCCAGCAGAGCAGGAGGAGTAAACAGGGCTGGTAACTTAATGACCTTTGAGCATTAGCAGATGGCCTTTTTACGAGCACAGATTAGCAGAACATGGGAGTTTTTAATGGCCACTAACAGGTGCCAAGGCTGCTTTTCCCCCCTCTCTACCTACCCACAACCAGTAAAGCACCAACTGGGTCCCACCCCATCCTTTATTTCTCTTTACACCCCAGCATCTTGGATGACACAGCAACATATGTCCTGCACCATCCTGAGAAAGCTGTAGGTTACAAAACCAAACAAGAGCACCTCACCTTTGGGTAATGGTGTTGCTAGATGAGTTGTCACCACGATATCTCACCTGAGGTGTGGCCGGTTCAAGGAGGATGGTCAAAATGGCTGCCCCTTTCTTTCTAGTTCGAGGGATCAAGTAGGAAATCCCAGGTTCCAAATCTGTTTAAAAGCAGGAAGGAGTCAAACAAAGCCAAGGCAGGGGATTCCCCTCTCTTATTTTTAACACCACGGTGTTCACCTGCGACAACCTTCCTGACCCCTTCCCAGCCCACTGCTCCCACCAGGTCCCTGTTTCTGCACCATTTAAAGACACCCTGGTATCTTTATCAGCTGATGTTAAAATGATGTTAGAATAGTGGTGTGAAGTTGGGCCCACAGCAAGCATCCAGTTCATGACTTGGCAAATACTCCCTCACCCGGACTTACCCCGGCCCGGGAGCAACTCGGAACAGAACCCAGACATGTGCAAGCACCAAAATGGCTCCTCTCCCTTTACCTCTGTGGGCGGGTAGAGAAAAGCCCTCACAATTAATCTCAGGTGCTGCCTGATTAGACGCAGCTCAGGGCTTACGAGGCGCTCGGAGCCCAGAGTCGGAGTGAGAGGCCTGAGGCGACCACGCCCTCGCCTCAGGTGCGGGGGGTCACACACAGGTGTGCATCAGCAGGCACCGAGTGCGAAATTGGGGAAATTCCGGGAAAAACCAGCAAGAGCATGGCTGAGGAGCGGATTATGGCACCCTTCAGCCTTTGGGCTTCCCACTCTTGGCCTCTCTTCTCTCAGTCTCCCACTATGGGCCTCCAAATCTCTCTTAGCCTCCGCTCTCTTGGCCTCCCGCTCTGAGCCTCCACTCTCTTGAGAGCTGCCATATGTCAGTATCTTATTTTGCCGTAGAAAAAAAGATAACACGGTACAAACTCCAGATTTTGTAACGTGTGGTGGCAGTGCCAATCTTACAACTGTCAGGTTGGAGTCTCTTATTAGAAGGAACATATTATGGCTGGGATTTGAGGCAAAACACCGGGGAAAGAGATTGGAAAACTCAAGGAAAAAAAAAATTCCTTGATGGAACAATTAAAATTTGCCATGCAGAGGAGTTAATCATGTCCAGAACAGAGTTCCTGGAAAGCAGCACTGTGAGACACTTCATGCAAAGTACTGCAAGAAAACAGATCCCAGCCAGGACAGCATGAGGCAGGGAACGCTGGAGTCTGCAGAAAATGGTGCATTAAACTGTCCACTGCATGAAATGACACAGGAGAGGGGACATGGAGCTCAGGGAAAGCAAAATGGCAGCAGAGAAGCAGTGCCAGCTCTGGGCTCTCCTGGCACCAACTCCTGCTGGCAAACTCAGCCCAGAGAGGAAAAAGAGGGTTCACGACTATGAATCCAGCTGTGGTGCATAAGTCAGCGTGGGGTCAACTCCACATAGTTTTTTATAGAAAAAAAACCCAGGTACAATAAGGAAGTGAAAAAGTTAAAGATGGAAGCTCCCAGCAGAGCAGGGCTGAAGGAGCCAATGCAGCCCCTCATCCTCTTGTACAGGTGTTTACACACAGGTATAATACAAGTACCTTTCCCATTACCTAACAGAGAGATGCATTTGGAAGCTGGGCTAATGTCCAGTGTGTTGGATATGTCCACAGGGTCATTTTCCTTCATGTCCATGATTCCCTTTGGGGACTCTCACCTGTAGCGCTGTTCGGATTGTGCAGCATTTCACAGGAAAATGCAATTTCTTGACAACGTGGAGGCCCGGGGTCTGCACAGGTGCTGGCTGAACCTGAAGAAAAGAAGGATAAAAAATATAATCAGAGCTTCAAGAAACTTTGAGAAGAGCGTATTGCCGTGCAAAAGTGAAACAAAACATGAATTTGAGGTAAGAGAAAGATGTGCTAAAAGGCCTGATGGTCCAGTGACACGGAGCTTCAAAAGAAACAGGAGTAACTCACACAGATGCCAGACCTGGCTGGAAGCACTGATCTTTACAGACCACCCCAAAGAGAGGATTAAATCACAGTCTTTAAACTATATTTTCAATATAGTGACCTGGGCTTTATGTGACAGATGTGGGGACCCACACCCTGCAACCAAGCAGACCAACTCAGTCAGGATGCCCAGGAAGAGGCTTGGGGTAGCACCCTGCTGAGCCCTGAACTCGCACAGCCCTGCAGAGGCAGCACCTTGGAAATGCATTACAGGGGAAGACCAAGCGTTTCATCAGCTTCCAGCAGGAAAAGGGAGAAAGTCCTCTGAAGTGGGTGTTCTTCCTAGGAACACCAGGCCAGAGGAGGAGGGTGGTTATGCAGCTGAGCTTGCGGACAAGACACAACCAGAACTCATTAACTCACCTCTGAGGTGCTTGGTGGTGCCTTCAGGGAGACCACACAGCAGCACAGAAAACCCCGGAGACTAATTGAACACAGTTAATCATTAGGTGGTTTGAGATACATTTGAATTTCTTTAATTGTGCTCATGTTGTTTGTTGTAGTTATTTTTGGCTGGGGAAATGGTAACTTGCAGGAACTTTGAAAAGAGACATTTGGAATGGACTCGTGTCACTCAGGGTTGGGGTGACACATGGCTAAGCCACCTCAGTCCCCTCCCAAGCCCTTCTAGTGACTGCCACCATCAGATGGCAACCTGCTCTGGTACATGCTCTTGAAAATGGACACCACGAAACAAATGAGACCTGTGCCTCAAGCTATGGGAGGCAGATTTCTGCTGGAATCTACAACACTTGAAAAATAATTTGTTTCGTTAATAAAAACTGGCAGCAGGACCACAACCCTCCCAAATACCACAATATAACTACGGAGTTGGAGGTGTAGGTTTTACCTGGCCTAAGACCTTATGAGCTGGAAATCTGCTCAGAAACTTCACCTCTATAAACATGGATCGATTTATGTTTCCACATCAAGACCTGGTTAATGCAGTGGATTTTTGTACATGAGCTGAAGAGCAAGGCCGATGTAGTGCAATGGTATAACCAGTATAACCACATCAAAGGCAGTAGAGAGACACACATTTCCAGTGGAGGGTGCATTCATGTGACTGGTGTTTGCTGGAGATCCTGAGATTATGTGTACACTGAAATTTAAAGTGAAAGAGGGTGAAAATTAAGAGGACTGAGGCAAAGGGAAAGGCTTACGGGAGTTTTTGCAAAGCCAACACACAGAGGAGTTTTGTTCCAAACTACCTCGAATCTCTAAACCATTTCTCCCACGTTTCAGCTCTCCTGGCTCAAGCTCTGAACACTGAGACCCAAGGATCTGCTCTGCAGAGAGTTAATTCCTGGCAGACAAATTCATTTGTGGTGCAAGTCTCCAGACATTAAGGGTGTTATCCGCAGGGACAAATTTGGCCACTGGCATCTGTATTCAGCCCTGGATGAGCAGGAATGGCTTCCTTGACTTGCAGAGCTGATTTGTGCCAGCTCTGAATTTGGCCCCGTGTCTTTCTCTTTGTTCCATGTATAGTTAAATAGACAAGATGAAAAAACCATGACTAATTAGACTGTTAAATTAAACTGCTTTAAATTTATTTTATGTGATGCATAAAGTTCATAAAAAGAGGTATCCAGAGTAGTATCAGTGACCTTTCTCCAGGAGCTGCAGTCCACCCGGATGCTTTTTTGAACCAATTGGCTGAAAACTCCTGGATTTCTTAACACCTTTTATTCCCTCTCTGCCACTTTCAAACCTGAAGGATTTATTTTTATCAGTCCCTCACCCACATAATGACTTTAAAATTCCTTAGGTTCATACCTTAAAATATAGCTGGGAATTAGAAGTAATGCCAATTAACAAGTCAAGGCTCAAAGGCACTGATGGAGTTAGCTTGCACTTCTCCCTGGAAAACTGTCATAAGTATATATAAGAATCTGCACACCTCAGGATTTCTGTTCGGAGCACTCTGTTTGAAAGCACCTTTTCCATGACATTTGCAGCCTCACCACCACCGTGGTGCCTATGGATTAGACAGCCCTGAGCCAACAGGGTAGCAGCAACCATGTGCCACCCCACAAGTGCCTCCCCAGGCAGTTGCCTCCCTCCAGGCTCCGGACTGGCAGCAGGTCCCAGCACCTCTGTTTGGACAGGCTTGGCTGGCAGGGCTGCGTTTGGACCCGCAGGTCTGTCCTCACCACACCAAAAAGGCAGTTTATGTGCTCCAGGTGCCGGTTGATTCCTGGATCTGAAAACCTGGAATTTCGAGACGGACAAAACCCCCTTATTTGATATGCAGACGTTCCTCCCACTCCCATTTACCAGGCACAGAGATAAAAAGCAATTTGGTTAGACCTCGTGAGCCTCTGCTCCAGGATCTGGCACATGAAGGAGGCCAGAGTTTAGTTCCCAGGTCTGTCGGTGGCTTCAGGCAAGTTATTTCACTTCCCCCGATTCAGTTTCCTCCTCAAGTGGTGCCTGCAATACCAAATAGTGTGTTTTCCCTACGGCCACTGAGCACTAGTCGTTTCTCTGGGAAAGCTGCTTTCACCCTTCAGGATCCCTGGCAGGGTGGGGGTGGCTGGAGAGACACAGGCAGCATCCAAGCACCTGGGGAGAGGGGCTCACTTGGGAAATTTGGGAAGTGGACAGGTTTTTTCTTTTGCTACCAAGACCTCCTTGCCTCCTCTTTCACTGTTGAAATGACCATCCCTATTTCACAGTCGTTAGGAGTGATACTGGTCATTCAGCTCCCAGTTCCACGATCAGGCTTTCTTCCTGCATGTTGTCACCATCTGCTAAGCCCAGTGGCCAAGCCAGTCCAAGTTAAATTCTGCCTGTATGCACCTCTTGCAAGAGCTGCTGGTAGCAAAGTTTAGTCCCTTCTGAAAGAAAACCTCCATGAAACCTCCTCATACCCTCCCACATCACTAGCTGGGCAGGACAGGATTGTGTCCTTGTGGCACTGGGATGAGGCACGTGGTCTTTCCATGCCTTGGGAAGACAACTGGGGAGGGCAGATGGCTTTTCAGAAGCCTAAAATCGTATATTGTGGCTGCGGCATCCCCTGCTCCTGCTGATGCTGCACTTCCCTGCTTTGTGCTCCTTTATTTGGGAAGGATGCGTTCCCAGCAAAGGTGTGAATAGCGCTCCCTTCGCAGCTAATCCTGACACGCCAGCGGCCCAAAGCACAGTGTATTGCTAAGCAACACTTGGCAAAATCCATGCCAGGTTGTGTCGGTCCCTTTTGATGTTTCACAGAAGCATTGTCATTTCCATCTCTGGCATTGTTTCCAGCATTTTGGGTGTCAGTGTTCCTGAAAACCATCACAGAAAGGATGTTTATTGAACTGTCAGAGGGTGAATGATTGACACTAGGCACAAGTACTTTTCATGTTCAGGTTTTGGCATGCCACAATTGGATTATTTCCTGATAAATGCCATCCAATTCTACCAGATGGACCACTGAGAGATATGCCAACCTGTGTGAGAAATGGAGTAGATGCTCAGTGCCACTTATTGGTAGATGTGTGCTTCTCCAGTCTATCCTTTTGTGTAGCTGCAGGGTATTTCACTGAAGCAGTGACTTTTGTGATGCTCATAATTAGAAGTGCAAGGCAATTTTCATTGTTGAGAAGGGTGGATTTCAATGCCCAAATCTGATTTCATTCACCTCAGAGTGGAAGTGCAATACCTGTTCTTCTCCTCTCAGATTTAATGTGTTCTCTGCGATCTGAGCATTAAAGAGCCATGAATTTTGAAAGTCAGGTATTTCTCATATATAAATAATTTCAATAAACCCATCCTCTGCCTTCCCGTTCATCTTTCCTAATGGCTCATTTACAGATCCGAATGCAATACGAGGATTGTGAGGCAGGTAAACCATCTAAGAGTGAATACATTAAATGTACAATCCAAAGTTGATTAAACAGCTGAATTAATTTCATTTACACTCAGCTGGAGAGTTATCTGTGGTCTCGGGACGACGGAGGGACAAGTGACAGCACGAGGGGACAGGGTGACCCAGGGATGGATATCCACAGTGGGGTAGGTTGTAGCTGTCAAATTGCCCCTGGAGCTATTGAGAGTATGTAGGGAAGAGGGATTACATAGGAAGAGCTTTTTCATGGACACAGGGGCCTACGCTGAGCAGAGGGGAGAAGGCAGGAACCATCTCCCACAGCCTCACACAGGCACTGGATGAGAAACTGCCACGGGGTTTTTGGGTTTCAAGGGGGAGAGTTGCCTTTTCCTATTAGTTAGGGGTGATGCAGGAGGAAATCCCAAATTCTGCAGGACAGAAAGTTGCAGGTCCGTGAAAACACGATTTTTCTCTCTGAACTGACCCACTAGCGAGACAAAAGAAACATGAAGTTATCTATTCCTGTAGTCCTCGGCACTTTAATATATACATAAAAAGCAGGGCCTTTGTACTACACCTAATGAGCAGAAGTGAATAATGTGGTATAATTAGCTTCCCTTTCTCAGCCTGCTCTCTCCGATATCTCAACACACTTCTGACAACAGCATGGTACAAGTGGTGACTGGTGCCTACATCTCAGATTTACCATCACTTCATTGTTCTGCGCTCACACATTTTTCATCTCTGCCATTATGAGGGCCTCTCTCCGCCGCACTTATTTCTGCATTTTAGCCGTTGGCTTAGTCACTGCCAGCTAAAATGAAAC